GTTTAGGGTTTAGGGTCAGGGATCTTTAGGGGCTTTAGGGTTTAGGGTTAGGGATCTTTAGGGGCTTTAGGGTTTAGGGTTAGGGATCTTTAGGGGCTTTAGGGTTTGGGGTTATAGGGTTTAGGATTTAGGGTTTAGGGGTTTAGGGGCTTAGGGGCTTTAGGATTTAGGGTTTAGGGGGTGCAGGGCCTACTAATTGTGTGGCCTAGTCCGTAGTTCGGGTGTAGAGGGAAAACGCAAGGGGCTCTGGCTTGAGCATGGTGAGCGCTTTTTGCACATCATAAAGTTGAGCAAGATCATCAGTAGTGTTCTTCTAGTCTGGTCGGTATGAACAAATAGCAGCGCTATGATATTAGTTGCTTGTTATTCTTACTAGCCTTATTGTTCATGATAACCCTGTCTTCTCCTGCATCCCGAGCCCTATACACCCCGAACTCCAAGACCCCAAAGCTACTCCAAAGCTCTAAGGAATCCTACAGAGTCCTCGAAGTTCAAGGGAAGCCCCGGCTTCCACAAGTGACAAAAATTTGCGGCCTACGATGTAGGGGTTTCCGGGTTTAGGGTTCAGGATCTGGGCTTTAGGACTTAAAGGCTTTACGGCTTTAAAGGGTTCAGGACTCATAAGTCAGAAGTCCCGGAGGTGGATGACGGGGATGCGACCGGAGAGCCCAAGGCCGCGAGTTCGTTCAGAGTTTCCGGGGCTTAGGGATCAGGGAGTTGGGGTTTAGGGTTTTCGAGTTTAGGGTTTAGGGGATCAGGGAGTTGGGTTCGGGGGATGGTGATCGTAGTCGGAGTAGTGGCAATCGATGGCAGCTATATGGCTTGTTGGCATGCCAGCAACGCAGCTACTACTAGTTTTAACAGCGGCTGTTAATTCGGATATTGCTAGAAGCATCGAGAGTGGGAGACATGTGACAAGTAATTATGGACAAATCAAATCGAGCTATGCCATCAAGATGATAGCTGCAGCAGTTGCCTGTCACTTCGTCTACTATTGCAGCAGCCTATTGACAACGGTTTTGTATTTTTAAGACAGGTTCATATCATGCGGGTCGTGATTCTGAGCTGCATGGTTTCTCCTGGTAGGCGTTCGGCTTTGGTTTCGCTGCCGCATCGTTGCGTTGCGATGGTTGCAGGAGGGCAAGGAGGGCAAGGCGCCCAAAAAGAAAAAGGAGTCGAAGAGCAAAGAAGAGATGGCCGAAGCTTGGCATGACTTTGGACCCCGTGCGGATGTGCAAGACATCATGACCTGCGGAGTTGAAGAGTTCAGTGTTGGATTTCTTGCCTGAAATTGAGACACTGAGGCACTAAGGGCCACGAACGAAGCGCTTAGCATGTGGGTAGGTGTGCGCAGACACTGCTAGGCTGCTAGGCAAGCACGAGTTGATTGCAGTTTGCACCAGCCTTGCCTCCTGTTGTAGTGTGTGGGCCTGGTTTTTCTGCCGTCCCGACTTTACATGTTTTGCACCTAGAGCCGGCGGGTTTTGTCACTTCTGAGGAGGCAAAGATGAAGTCCCCGGACGACTCTTGGCTGTGTTTGCCGTTTTTGGGAAGGGCAGCGAGGCTTTGCTCGTGGAGGTGTTTGCCAGACCTGTCGATGCCGATGAGTGAGGAAAATCCAGTGATGGCTAGCAAATAATATTAGTATCAACAACATATTTGTAATACGTAGTAAAAATACGTTCTAACAACAACAACACCACCACCAACAACAACAACGGCAGCAACAACAACAACAACAACAACGGCAGCAACAACAACAACAACAACCACAACAACCACAACAACAACAACACCAACAGCAGCAGCAACAGCAACAGCAACAACATCAACAACAACAACAACAACAAAACAACCACAACAACCACAACAACAACAACAACAGCAACGACACATGGATGCAGACGGCTTGCATCGCCCGTGAGCCAGCACAAGCTTGAGCCCTAAAGGTTCTGTCCTAAACTCAGGCCCTACACGCTCACAAGGCTGTCTGCAAAGTGCCTCGAAGTGTGTCGAATGTTGAGTCATGCTGAGTCCCCACACAAGAATTTTGAAGTGCCCTGCATGATCCCCCCGAAAGGAAATCTTTGGCCCCAGCGATGACGAGGCTCCAGTACAGGGTTATCAAGGCAAAGTCAATTTGAAAACGTTGCCAGGAAGCTATGCCCCCCCAGCCCTAGACCCTCAAGCCAGGGGCCAGCATCTCATCCTTCGGTTTTCGTCAGACCGCCGTCCACGCAGAATGAAGCACTATTGGGACCGCTGTAGCGAACAGTGCCTCTTTGATTGAGCAAATGTACAGTAGCTCGCCCCAGAATCACCGCAAGACGATGGCAAGCTCGTCGAGCGGTGCATAGACCTGTATAATGTTGTCCGGCAGGAGAACCAGAGCTTGTGAGTTCAGGGTTTAGCTAGAAAAACTAACCACAAGCCCTGAGGTTGAGATTATTTTCGCACCTACTATCGCGCCGTTTCAGCCGCCGGAGCCACGCCAGCCTCCGAAATGGCGACATGCTCATCTGACAAAAACCACAACATTCATACAGCAGCCATGCAAAGAGCCTTCCCTGCCCGAGCAGCCAGGCCGATGGCGAGGACGCTGAAGAGGACGCATGCCTGCAAAGTGTAGGCATACAGCGACAATTCCCCAAACTGTGTGGGAACGCTACCGGGTCCTTACGTGACATTCCGAGCTTCCACATGCAAATAGGCCAGGCGCCCGAACGAAGCCCCAGCGCTTCTGTGCCAACTGCGTTATCACCAGTTTACAGAAAGCTACAGGTGCCACTGCTCCTTGCTACTAGCACCACCAATATCTACGGAGCATTCGACCGCGAGCACCAGCACCGTTAATATTCTGACCACCAGCTGCCACCGCTTGCGATGATTGTGACATATTGTGACTGTCAGGAAGCCGCCGAAAATGATGCTGTGGTGGAGGAGTACCCCCGCCTCACTTGAAAGATTTTCGTCATAGGCGATGTCTGAACCTGAAGGTGTTTAGAAAACCTCAGCACATCTCGCATCAAGGGAAGCGGTCCAGGAGTACCTGGAACTCATAGCTTGGAACCGTAGCTCATCGAACTCCGAGGGGTGTGACGGAAGAAGGATTCATCAACTCGATCGTGCTCTGTTCGGGAGTCTCAGGGCCTTGCAGGAGAGCCTTGCAGATACATGAAGCCGGAGGTTTCAGACAAGTAGCCATGCTGTTGTGCCATCATGTCGTATGATGCCCTAGGGGCCTAGGGGTGCTTCAAAGCCTCACAAAAGACGGCCCCAAACCGAGCAACCTTGCCTGCCATGAATGGCAGGTTGCCACCTGGAGCCCCGAAAGGCTGCTCCTGGGAAGGGGCCAAGATGATAATACATACATATATATATATACACACATATATATATATATGGATATATATATATATATATATATATTTATTTATTTTTTACTTATATGTGCATGTATGTATATATGCAAAAACACAAATACATACACATACAACATTATCGGTGCATTTATATAGAATTATTTGTATATATATATACACGTAAGAATATAGACTTGTATGTATATATATATATATAGAGAGAGAGAGATGTGGGCATATGCACGTGCCTGGATGTGGATCTGAATCTGGATTTGTACGTGCATGTGTATGTGCATCTGCATCCGTATCTGTATCTGTACATGTGGGTTGTGTATGTATGTGTATAGGTGTGTTTAGGATTATGTATACATGTTTATAGACATATATCTGACATACATACATACCTACACACACACATAAATACATACATACATGCGTACATGCATACATACATACATACATACATACATACACATATACAAACATACATACATGCATGCGTGCATGCATGAATACACGCATACATGCATACATATACATACATATAC